TTAATATATATATATATTATATATATATATATATATATATATATAATTTCATCAATCATTTTCTATGACATTTGTGTAGTAACAAATAATTTTTAAAAATTTGTAAATTTGATGTATGTATTAAAAAAAAATAATTCAATGGTTAGAATGTAAAATATAAATAATTGAATGAAGTAAATTTAAGTAAATTTACTCTTAGAATAAGTAGATCTTTCTTCACACACACGCACGTACATACATGAGACATTTTAAATGAGAACACCCCATTATATTAAAATAGACATTTTACATTAAAAAGTCTACAAACAAAATCATCACACACTATCAACATCATAATTATCTTTATTATTGTTGTCATTATCATTATTATTACTGTCATCGTCGTCATTGTCATCACTTAGTAAAAATAAGAGAACTAAGTAAGAGTATAATTAATAAGTCATATATATTATTGTCACCAACATGTCATCATTAACAACGAGAACAACTATAATAACAACAATAATGATAACAATATATCAATATCATATAACTTATTATATTCTTACTTAATTCTCTTACTTTCATTGAGTATTCTAGAAGAAAGGTTTTCGCTTATCATTTTTGATATATTATTTGTACATTTCTTATGGTTCATACAAGTGCAATTTTGCTACATTCCCTAACCCTGATGAGAATACATTCAGAATTGGTTTCTGCATTAGAGACAGCTTGGGTTCCTTTGTGGGTGCACGCACTCTCAGGATCCCTGGTCTCCCTCCTGCCAGTATTAGAGACGCTATTGCTCTCATGCAAGCCATTATTTTGGCTTCGAAAAATCAATATACGCCCATCCTCTTCGAGTCTAGTAGCAGCAGAATTGAAAGTTTTTTCCGTCATCCCAACCTAAAGGATAGAACTGAATTTAGTGACATCATGAACTATTGTAGAAATAAGATTAATTCTAGTGCCAACTTTAATGTAAGTTTCACCCATAGATCAGCTAATTTGGTGGCTGCCAATCTTGCAAAGGCCTCCAAATGTTATGCTAATCTTAAGGATTTTGCATACATCCCAAATTGTATCTTCTCTCTTATTGTTAATGAATTGAGCTAAGGCTCAGCTCTTAAAAAAAAAATGATAGTATTTTTTTTGTTGTTGTTGATTTGAATCATATTGAAAAATTAGCCATCTTGTAATGTTTTATTAACGTAATTTTTGCTTTTGGCATATTCACGCACTAAGAATAAAATCTTATTCTAGTGAGGCTTTCTTTTACACCAGCAGGATAAAAAAAAACAATTATTAAATAATGTTTAGTTAAAGTGGAGGAAAAGAATTTCTATAATTTATTTGTTTTGTTTTGTTTGATCTTTAAAAGGGAAAAGGGTAACTTCCTTCTATCTTAACTCTTCTTAAATATTGAGATATTTAGAGAGATAAGAGAAGAATTAAAATATTTTAAATATAATCTTAAATTTATTTATTTATACTTATAAGGAATATTTAAACTTATATATATATATATTAATTAGTTATAATAGTGATATAATAATAATAACAATAATAAAAATATAATAATAATAATAACAATGACAATAATAATAATAATAAAAATATAATAATAATAATAACAATGATAATAATAAAAATAATTATAATAATAATATTAGTGATAATACAATATAAAAGTTTTTTTTTTTTTTT